AGAGAGAGTAAGTTGAGAGAAAAAAATGCTGTATCTTGTACATTGAAAATGTTTTCTGTTTATAATATAAGAAGTCTACTATGGCGATGCTTATATGGGGGACGTGTGTGTACAATTAGGAAAAATCATGACAAAAGAAGAATTGTGACCTTTATTATTGCTGGACCACATGGCTAGTTATATAGCTTTTTCTGACTGCAGTTCTAAAAGTCAGAAATGATACCAGTATTTTGTAGAGTGGTGCAGTCTGAAATGTTGCATGGTGGTCTGTCTACATTTGTGTTGAAAAAAGTGGACTCTTCTTTTCATACTGAATCTGTTAATCAGTTTAGTGTCACAACAAAGATCTAGGTGAAGAATAAAAATACAAGATATTGTCACATTTATGAAGAAGAGAAATTATCTTAGAGATATAAAGCATAGTTATATAGTAAGAAAATGCGACGAAACATTGAGAGGAATTCTGTATGATATTAAAAAAGGGGAAAAGTTGAACCAAAAGGCAATACGTTGACTAGAATGCAGTCATATTAGCCTCCACCAGGCCGTCCTAGGGTGTTATGGATAGTAGGATTCGGTAAAAATGGGCAAGGTGAATATTGGCCAGGAAAGTGAGCCTGCAGTAAGGGTAACATTTTCTCATGGAAGTGCAAATGTTATGCTATGGTGGCCAAACTCCCCTGGCAAATTATTCCCCCTATTTTGCCAAGTTTATTTTTCAGCCAGCATAGTCTAGTCTGGTGGAGACAACAGTTAACGTTATGTATGGATGAACTGCAAAGTAGTGAAACAGGGATATACATGTATAAGGCAAGGGCCGGTGGAGATATGACCACAACGATATGTGGTACTAATAGAAATGTATGTTCCCTGCCCATTTTTGGTTTGTCACCAGTGAAAAGATGGTGTGCTTCATGTTGACATCATTAAAGAACAGACAAATTGGACTTGGGATGTCTTTGATTTCTTGCAATTTATGTAGTTCATACTCTACTGTAGTACTAGTTACCATGGTGACAGATGTCTGGTTCAGGTCATTGACCTTGTTAAGAGAAGGAGAAGAAGAGGAAGAAGAAACTGAGCGAAAACAATATGTTTTCATTAACATAACAATTACAGCCTGGTAGAGAAAAAGAGAACAATATACCTCTACTGAACTATAAATTATAGAGCATTGGTTTTTGTGGATTTTTAAAGCAGATCGTCTGTGTCTGAGCGCCCCTCCCCCAAAATGTTTACTGAAACATCCCCTGCAGGACGTATGTCAACATGTTCACTGGAAATGAACTGTCCCCTTTCCATGGCGGGAGATCAACCATTGTAAAATAGGGGTTGAGTGTCTCCGATGTGTCCGATTTTTTTCCGTTTTGATCAAGTTATTAAAGAGAGCCCCTCCCCAACTATACGTTGTTGTATGAACTCCATGTTGCCATTAAAAACAATTAAGTAATTTGCGTGATGAGGTTAGAATGGCATCCGATAAGAAAAAAAGACATTTACTTTTCTGTTGGCATTATACCCGTATAACAAATGGTTCGTCCCTTCCTGTGAGCGCCAATCACGTTCAAGGTTACATCTAAGAATCTTTCACTCAAAATTTTGGCGCCATTGCACCTGCTTATGTGCCTGGACCTGGTGCGTCCCGTCAGAACTGAGGTAAGAATTTTTACGGAGAAATACTAGTACCACATTATATTCAGGGTTCACCTTGTATAGTTTCTGTATATCGTTGCCAAATGTCCCCCTTTGATTTTAAGATATTTGTTACACGGTTTCCCCGATACTTTCACGATTTGTGATGCACGGTAGGATATAGGCTGACCTTACGTATGACGACATTGTCGTACATTTTTCCTGTCAGTGTTTCTCCCGCAAACGTTGTGTTTTCCCTCAAGTTTACCTCAGAATTTCCAAGCAAAATGTTCCGACGTGTAGTACTTCCACTTTTAGCTTCCTTCACTGGTGAAAAATTGAGAAATATTTGTAAAGCGGCCCTTCGTAGTTGGGCAGGCGGGATGTCATCAGCATGGTCCCGTGTGTATATGGCCGTCGTTTGGGTGGTTGGTAACAAGCCTCCAAAAATTGATATTTGTCCTCAACTTTACCTCAGAATTTTCAGACAAAATGTTCTGGCGTGTAATAATATTACTTCTAGTTTTCTTTATCTGAGAAAAAATGAGAAAAAGTGCCTCTTCGTGTGTCGGTCTGCAGCTGCCCTATAGTACAAATATCGCCGGAGTCACCACAATGAATTAGATGCCTGGTCAAATGTTCAAGAAAACTGTTATTTTTTCCTCAGGTTTACCTCAGAATTTTCCGACAAATTGCTTCGACATGTAGCTGAGTCACTTTAAGCTTTTTTTATCCGTGAAAAATTGAGAAAATTGTACCGCAGCCCTGCGTAGTTGGGCCTGCGGGAGAGATGCAGCATGGCCCTGTACGTAACGTTAGACAGAGCCCGGTGTGGATCCCAATCGTCAAAAGGTTGAGAACATTTTTTTATTTTTCCTCAAGTTTTCCTCAGAACCCTCGGAAAAAATGTTCCAACATGTAGTAGAGTCGTTTTTATCGGTGAAAAATTGAGGAAACTTGTCAATCGGTCGTGCCTGGGTCGTGCGTAGTTGGGCCGGCGGGATAACAGGTGCATGATCCCGCCTACAACGCATTACTCGGCGCGGATCGCGGGACCAGCTGAAGTTCACAAAATCTAATAAAAACCATTGTTGTGTGAATTTTACTTCACCATCTTGATAATTTTGACATTTCTTCTTTGAGTTTTGACGTGTTTGCTTTTTTGGGCTGTCATGGCTACGGGACGCCAGCGCCTTCTCGTCTGACGGAGCTGTCAATCATTGTATCTGTGTAGTTGAAATAGTTTTTACGTCGATATCATGACAAATAGTGAAGTCTTCTCACATGTTTACCTCAGAATCGCCGCCAAAAATATTCCAGAAATTACTTTTGGCACTTTTGGCTATATTTTTCGAGAAGTTTTGAGACTTTGAATTCAAACCAAAAACTTTTAGTAAACATCACCTTTTATATTTCAGATTGACTTCAGACTGTGCTGCTGCTTGGGACTTGAACTCCTGATAGATGACATTTTATTCTTTGATTCCAACTTACTAAGGATGTTGGGGCCACCAGGAATTCAGCACCAGGGACAGGAATGAAACTTTCCACGCAGTTCTACAGATTAATGCATTTTGCTGTTTCTTAGGATCTAATCCAACTTCATGTGAATTGAAGGTGTGAGGTCAACAGAGGAGCCTTTGACTGCATTATGAACTTGTTTTTGTTTCAGTCCTGCATGCAGACTACATGGGAATATTGTTTTTGCCTTCTAGTTTTCCTAGGTTGAACAGAGCTGCCCTGTTCCTCCCAGCAGTGCTCCAAAGGAGCATCAGCTGGCTAACTTAGCAACTTTTCTATTCCAGTTCTCTCTCTTTGTTGTACATGTAGTTTTGAAGGCCACACTCAAAGCTGAGTTGTCATCCTTTTAATGTTCTTTGTGTGACCTCTTTCTCCTTTTCTCTGTATCAGGACCACACTCAAATTTGAGTGGTCGGCTATCTTTGTCTTTGTGTCTGAGTAAACTTCCTGCAGGAAAAGTCTTGCTAAGACAGAGGGATGACAAGCAGCCGTGGTTCCTGACTACTAGAAGCAGAGCAGAAGCTGGGCCCCTGAGACTTCATGGTAAAGATTCACTCAAATCTATCCCTCTTTTGTTGTATCTGTTCTCTCATCCTTCTCACATTCTCTACTTTCTTCCTCCTCAAATCTCTTCCTGGCCAACTTTTTCACATTCACTGTAGATCTATTACAACAGTAAGTCCAATTTAATCTCTTTTTATTATATGTCCTTGTAGATGTAAGACAATTTGTCATTTTAAGTATGTTTAGATCAAACATGTTTTTAAAAGAAGACGATGATTGAAATGTGTTTTGTGCTTTCAGATGAGGTTTTGGTGACCACTGAGACTGATGCCATTGATGTCACTGATCCTGGCTACTTTTAAGGAAAAAAAAAGCAAACATGGAGAAAAAGCAGACAACTAGTCAAATGGTATTTGTATAATATCCTTTTTTTGCTAATGGTATAGATTAATTAAGTAAGGGTGGGGGATCTGAGCCAAGCTCTACTTTGGTTCTTTTTTTTTTTTTTATTTCCTTCAGAATTCACCTCAAAAACAAGGCTCGTGAGAGCCACTTACGTGTTTTGGGTTACAGTGATGACTGCGTGGTCAGATATTTGGTCACCCTTGATTTAAACCATTGGAGGTTGTAATTAGCGGTGAAACATTCATGGGGAAGCTTGTTCCACAGTGAAGTGGTTCTGGGGAAGAAACTGTCAGCATGAAATTTTCTCTTGACTGATGGACTATTGAGGAAGAAAGGGTGATTTTCTGCTGTTGAGGTGACTAAGCGTGTTCTTGCAGAGAATGTTCTGAGTGGGGGTACGAGGGAGTGAAGTTCCCTCGTACCCCCTCGTTCCCTCGTAAGCTTCGCTTACTAAATGAGTTAATTGTAGGGAACCTTTTGGAAAATAAAGTGCCTTGTGACAACTGAATCTCAAATAACATAAAACAAAAGTAGTGGGCTTTTGGGATCACAAGTGAAGCTCTTTTAGCCCAACCAGAGTAAATTTTCTTCATTGATGTCTTGGCTGCTTTTGGCTGCCTTCATCAGGGTTGGTGAAGAAATTGACTTTGGTTGTGCTGAGAGAACTTTACTTGTTCTTGGGTAGAATTGCTAAGACTTAGTAGTAGTAAGCCACTGCTCCTGAGCTCAAGAAGGATGATGACATCATCGGCATCAATGGACCACCAGAGACAGAGATATATGAACTAGCTGAAGGCCTCAGGCACATGACTGTATTAGATTTAACTTGCAAGTGACAATGATTTTTTCTCACTCTCATCTTGTAATCGAGCAGATGAGACATTGAATGGAACAGTGTTATGTCTGTTACCAAACCATCTTGTAAGGAGAAGATGGAACACTGACTGAGAAATGATTTCATCCATCTAATGGTATTAAGAAATAAAAAAGAAAAAAAAAGATGGAACAGTTTTAGGACTTTTAATCACCATCATGTAAGAGAAATGATGAATGAAATGAGAATTTCTTTTATCCATCTTGTATGTGAAAACTTGGACAAGTAACTGTTTCATCCATCTTAGTACAAAGATGGATTTTATTTTCACCGTCTTGTAAGAGAAAAGGCGGACAGTAATGATCCTGTGGACTGCAGCCATTCCTGGAGATGCTCAACACACAAGACTACGACTACCAAGGACACCAGTGCACTCATTGAAAAAAGATTCTGAATAAAGATTTTTTAATAAAGACTGAATATTTACTGTGATCAAAGGTTCTGAATAAGGTGATTCTTCACCTTGTACAAGCAATTTACGGAAATTAAGATTGAACAAGCTTAAGTGCTTGAATTTGTTAATTAAAGTTACAAGGCAGTACTTCCACGTGCCTTTTACCTGCTCTCTGAGTTCACATGCACTTAGACTTTAGATCAGGACCCAGAAATAAGGTGAGTTAAATACCAAATTAGAGCAGGGACATAGTTAGTAGTCAAAGTGTGTGATGATTCAGAGAGCAAGTCTTGGTTCACAAATTTATGGGGTCAAGCACAAAATGTCTTTTTTCAAAAAATGTATAATATAAACACAAGGCACACCCTAAATTTTAGCAAGTCAACGATCTCAAGAGGACACCTGTTTTTATGTCAAGCCACTATCAAGATGCCAGAGGTGAGCCATGTAATTAAGGACTGCATGCGTTACTAACATGCGATTTTTATCCTCATATTAAAAGGGGGTTCTTTGCTAACCTTCTATATAGAAGCATCTGGGTTTAGGGCCAAACCATCTTTTGTGTTTGTCTACCCTATGATGGGAAGGGAACTGGGGTCCTTGCAAACGGAACCATATAGTTCCGTAAAACGTGATTTACAGTGCCACAACTAAAAATTATATTGATTTTTTTCAAAAATTCCTAGCAAAAGACAAAACAGACAACATCACATCTATCAAAGTAAAATACTTTTATTTGGAGAAACTTACTTTAAATCAACACTTTTGATTACAATATGTGGATCATCTGAAATGAACGACCTGTCCGACAAACTCTTACATTACAAACTCTCATGATCACATTAATGCCAGCTGGTGTACAGAAATTCTTCCAAATTATTCGTTCACGTGTGTATGAGAGGTAGACTAGAACATGGGGACCCCTAAACATGTTGCAAACCCCAAAAAAAGCAATAACATCCAGAAGGCTTTTCTTAAGGGTTACGGGTAGTTAAATTTGGTCGGCTGTTTCGCTGGTGTTCAGGAGTAGGACAGCGGCGTCGGGAGTCAAATTTGTCTCAAATTTAACTCAAATTCGATTTGAACCTAGTCAACAATTGGCTAGCAAGGGTAACATTTCCCTTTGGAAAATAAAAACACCTGCACTGGCAAATTATTCTCCCTATTTGGCTAAATTTTTGGGTTGCAACAATGCTTGGGAGCCATAACTAAAAACAACAGTATTTGGAACAAGACAGTGCTTTTACTGCTATATTTCAGACTAGCCCAGATCTGTTGTATCTGGCAACAGTGCAATTTTATTTGCAAACAACATTTCAATGAAATCAACATGTAAACAAAAATCAAACAACATCTGACCTAAATGACACCATTTGCTCACATCTGATTGGTTAACAGTAGCCAGTTCATGAAAGTTTTCTAATTTCACTACATTTACAAGCTGAGGAAGAATATACAAGAACTTTACAAACATACGTATAAAGCACACAGTGTAGGATAGCACGACAGTTTCCTATTTACAAACAAGGCTTATGATTTTCCTTCTTACATTCTTCAACATACGGTAACTGCCTTTTTCCTCATCCACGCAAGAAAGTAGTCAAACCTGTAGTCACCACTCAAGCGACTTGACAAAAGAGGTTATAATAGGCCATACATACATGTACAATGTAGATGGGTTTCTTAAAATAATGCTAACACAGTAGTACTGCTTCTATGACAGTACTGACACCCCTACATGTATGTTCCAACAATATTGAGGTTGAAGGTTGTCGGAACATGGGGGTGTTGAAACATATAGAGGGGTGTCACTTTTTTACGAAACACAGTAACACTGTTTTTACGCTGAGTTGACTAGAACCAAGAACCTTCTAGAATTTGATTGCTTTTGTGTCATTCTTTCAACCTCCCAGTCTAAGGACATCTGAACATAAAGGAGACTTAGAAATATCCGAAAACGATACATGTTACAAATATTAACACATTAATACTGACTGGCAATGCTTTCTATGGCTCCACATGGGGGGTGTTACCAGTAACCAGAGACAATATATGTACAAAAAAACATCATGCTCTTTTTTTATTTTACATTTACAAACACATTGTACATTTTACAAGTCACATAAAAACATTTTTCATCTACTACTTTATTGGACAAGTCCACTACTTTCCTATCACATCTTATCAAAAGTTCTTCAGTTTAGGTTATCGTCTGCCTAGCTATGTAAGACATTCAACAACATCTAAAAGAGCCAAATATCGGCTTTGCTATCATGTTTTCAGGACAAATACCAATATATGTTTGCTTTAAAATGGAGGGGCAGAAAAATATAACTCCTATGTTTTTCCCTCTCCGTTAAAAGCCAGTAGTTGTGTCACAAGTAACAGCCTACAGAATACAACCACATTTACAACTGTACAAGTCTGAAGTCGACCAAGGACGACAAACAAAGCAAAGAAACCGGCCCCTTCGTTTGCTTGTTTCTCATCTTAGTAAGACCAATTTTCTCCGATGCCTGAGTTTTCACCCACTGCATAAAAAGTCATTGCTTCTTTCAGATAAATAGAAAAGAACGAGCTGTAGTATCTTTGGTGTAAAATGTTTGAGTAGCCATATTATGCTGATCATGGTTTGTGCTAACAGGCTGTAGTTCTAACTCCTGCTGATAGATGGCGCTTTTGTGCCAATGCTTTGACTACTCTTGCACTGGGCAGCATGATATTTCCAACTTGGTACATTTTTTTCACACTCATTATTACACATGTCTAGAAATGGCCTATTTACAATATCTAGCCACTTGAACAATAATATATGAAGTCAACTGTACATGTAGTTTGTTAGATTTACCACAAAACAATTTATCCCAATATTTGCTACTCCCACAAAAGATCATTCTGTTTGGGTTTGGTGTTAGGTCCTTCCATATAATAGCAGAATACATGTATTTCAAATATGTGAACATGCATATCCTGAGTGGAGAGTGAAGATTGCTGATGCTGTGGCTGTTGTGGTCTCTACGCGTTGAAAAGCACAGAGTTCTTGAAATAAAGTCGTGCATCTGAAAGAAGAACAATTGAGCACATATGAAGGACAAAGATCTATGTCTGCATGGAAAGTTGCTGGATCCTGTCTGAAGAGTTTGCACAGAAGTACAAGGTTTCAGATTTGGGGGCATTTGATTCTGTTTTGGAATACACGTACATGTACAAATGTTTCTAGACTTTCTTCAGCCTACACTCAAATTATGTAACAAACGACTAAATCAATTGTGGGCTATTCAATCTTGTTCCCCTTCTTCTTTTCCAGTTCCAATAATCCCTAAATTTGAAATCAATTCAAAATCAATCTGAAATCTACCACTTAGGGGGCAGATCTTGTAAAATACTGTAAGAATGTGCAAACTTTTCAGACATTTTCGTGGAAGGTTGAGACCTCATCCTTTAAGACAGTACAAGCTTTAAGAAGGACCCAAGTTTCTTCACTCGGATGAGCTGACGAGGGATGACCAAGAGGAAAGGTTCTTGAAGTACAGCTGTGCATCTGGAAACACAAAAGCACCTTTGGCTGCTTGCACATCTACAAACACTGAGTGACTGAAATTTGGAAAGGAATTCTCCAGATTATCAAATGGTCCCAGTTGGGAAGTCCTCCATTTACTAGATGCGTATTTCTAGGTCATTGAAAGATATCTACATGTAGTTATGTAAATACATGTATCTGACCTTTAGAATGTGATACAGATTGCAAATTTCTGGCCCCTTTCCAAATTTTTCAGTAACCAGCTTCGAATTTATGTGTGGCAAATGTCTGTTGTAAAGACATGCAGAGCATGATTCTGGTCTTTCACAATACATCCTTGATTAGGATTAGAGTCAATTGTGTAATCAGCACTGTTTGTCTTGTGTTAGATGTCATTATAATCCATTACTGCTTAATTAGGACTGCACAACACAATACAGCTTCATGGAAGAAGCTGATACATGTAGGTCACTGAAAATCAAGTCTGAATGCTAAACAAAAAGAATGTAAAAACTACTAAAAACTTTATTTGTTACTGTAGCTCAAATGAACTCAATGAACAGTTGAGCTACTCTTTCCACTGGTTGTGACAAAGAAGATGCACACGATAAACAGCACTATAGTTCATTGTACTGGGGAAACTCCCCTAGCATTTTTCGACAAACCTGGCATCCAGGCTATGACCCGATTTACAAAAACTGTGTAAGCACATGAACATATAAAAATGCGAACATCAAATTTTCCATGCGTGTAAATCAGCCTGCTCTAATGTATATCAAAAACATACATTCAGATCGTACACCAGCCGTCAAAGTAATGTACATTGTCAATCTGAACATATGTTCTTGACGTACATCAAAGCAGGCTGCACACTGACGTACATGGTTTTCGTGCGCTCACATGCGTAAGCTGTTTCCGTACCATCAGGTTTTGCCCGTGTGTAAAATGTTTCTTAGTAGAAGAAGATGCAAAAATGTATTTCCCACCTTGTAGTTTTCTCTCTGCATCTGTCCTGGCATTCCTCTCCACCTCCAGCTCTTGTGAGAGGCTTTCTGTAATCATAGCAACACAGCAACGTCAGGATCGAACATTTCTGGGTATCACAGTTCTGATTTCTACATAATTGGGACATTACAGTTCACATGAGTTGTCTTCCAAAGACGAGATACTAAAGATGTAGTTAAAAGTTCTTTAAAAGTGACACAAGGTTCAGACTTCAAACGCTTGCTTTTCTCATAGAGTGTGTAGAGATGGCATTTGTTCAGAAGCCCTTAAGTCAGTTCACTTTTGGGAAAATATCAAGGGCACAAAACTATGTCACTGTTACAGCTAAAGCATCACAACTTGTCCCAAAGCTTCAGGTTTCCCAAAAGCTTTATAGATTTATCATAGATTCATAATAGACAGTGTGGAAATAGTATTTTTTAATTAGGAGCACAAAGAGCAGGCCAGTTCATTTTTGTAAAAAAAAGCAAGGGAACAAAACTATGTCAATTGTAGACAGTGTTACAGCTAAAGCATCACGACTTGTCCCCAAAGCTTCTCCAAACACCTTTGCGGGTGCATTACAGACTGAATGGAGGTGGTATTTACTCTGCAGCTGAGTAAACCTTGGCTGCAACATGAGGTTGAGTTGTTGTTGGAGCCGGGAGAGTGGAGACCACTCCAGGATGGGGTAAGCCTCAGCAGCGTATTTACTCTACAATTAGGGCGGATTGGTACTCTGTCGACCTCTCCGACCGTGAGGTTTCAATGGGCCCCATTAGTTTGGAGAAAGGGCAGCGAGAGAAAGATGAGTAAAGCCTATTCTGCAAGCAGAGGTTTGGCCTCCCTGCACCAATGAGTAAGAGAATACTAGCAAGAAAAGCCAGCGTAAAGAGCTGACCGGTCAAAAGTGGAGCTGAGAAAAAGTTAGTAATACAATTTGGGGGGATCATCTGTCAGAATAGATGGTCCAACCACGTACATACATTTTCTCCTTTTTTAATGTTTTTTCTTTTCTTTCTTAAGCTACGAAAGGGGTGTAAAGAACTTCAACTTATTTTCCAAGCAGTGGTTTCAACTGGGGTTTTGTTCATAGAGGTAGGCCAATGAAAGAAACCCCAGCCATTACACTGTGCTTGTCCCTACACAGAAACCATTACTTGGTACTTGAAGCATCAATAATGCAAAGAAAGGACAATGTCTCTACTACTACTACTGGCAAGAATGGAAAGTGAAAGAAAAAGATGAAGGTACAAGACATCCATCAGGAAGAAAACTGCAGGTTGCAGAATATCAGCTGCAGACAAAGCTTCCTCCACATACTGAACAACATAAATCAACAATTTTCCTCCATCCCACCAATAACGCCACAAATTCCCACCAAATCCTACCCCGCTATCGGACATGTTGAAAAGTACCACTACAAATGTACCAAACACGACCTTGGATGTTTAGGCCTCCTAAGGGCTTAGTCCTGATCCCCCTACCCATAATCCAACTGCAGCCAAGATGTCTGCCCGATACCCACCCAATATGTCAGGCTGAGTTCCGCCACAAACCAAATCAAACCCAGGTTAACCGAGATCAAATGCTCTTCATGGAATGGACAATAAACCAATATGGGTGATAACATCAGCTTATTTGGTTCCATCCTACAAGCGCGCAGACAGCTAGGATTCAGCCAACCTTGCTCCGCCACCAAAGCGGACTTTAAAACATGCACCATGCTCAGCTACGCAAAGTGTGTAAAGCTAGGAGGGATTGTATCTGCTTTTGATATCTGTCCATAAAAACCTGATATGTCAAGATAATAAATCCTGTTAATGTGTTTGGCATAAATTTCTTCTGTAGGCTGCCATAGATGTATATAACTAGTGAGAGTGACAGCATAGAAAATAGGTCAGCATAGAAAACACAGCTGTATCTGAGGTACATGACGTGTACATACAAGTACATGGCAAGTACATGCGCTGTATTAGAATTGTGATGCTGACATTGTGAATACACATTGAGGTTCCCAAATGTATTAACTCTGTACCCCTGAAATGGTTACACCTATATGTTTTGACAACTTCACCTAATGAGATGTTCTGACAACCCTATAATGCCTCTACCAGGCTTCCATGCTAGCTGGAAAGATTAGAAATTGTCTGTATGAACATAGCGGCAAACTGTACTCCTCCCTTGATGTGTTATCTGTCTATTTGGTCAGTTTCTAGTCTTTTCAGTTGTGGGGGGGATAGGCTTCTAGTTGGTCTAGGCCCCATAACCAATACAAATTTGTCACCAAATGGCTAACCTTAGCAGAACGATGTTAAAGAGCACCTGCCAAAATACAGACTGCACCTGTCTAAACAACACAGGTGGCAGGAAAGCTCCCCTGTCATCCCCTCACACAAGGCCACTCACTGTTAAACCCTAAGGATATGGCAGCACCACTTCAAGTAACTCACAACAACTCCTTCAACTTCTCCCAGACCTGTTACACTTCTATCAGGACACTTAGAGAGGGGTCAAAAGGCAAGGCAGGGGTAATGGGAAGTCATTGATCACTGAAGAAGTCTGTAATGTTACCCTGACATCTCAAGACATTTCCAGCCAAGTCTGGGGCCAAAACTCATGAAATCATAATCAAGACCAGGTCAGTACTTTTACTCCTCCCTCGGACAAGGAATGTAAGGTCACCTGGGAGGTCAAACAAACAAATAACTTTCTCTTTTTGCGATTACCTTGCTACAAACATCACAGGCTTTCGATTTCTTTTGACATTTACAAATTATGCTCAACTTAATTAGATTTTTGACCTATTATACTGCCTGTGGAGCCATTTATTATCAGTCAAATGTAATCAAAGTCATTATGACTGCAGATACATGTGGGAAGATGTAATAAGAACATCTGTCAATCATTCTGCAAATGTAAAGTACACTTCAATGCCACACTTGAAGGAAAGGTGACCTAGGTCGTAGGTCAGTCACCAATAGCCCTGAGAAAGTTCTAAGAGAGATCAGTGTCGCTTGGGCATGTGGTGTCAATTTTTGCCCAATAACTTAAATTAATCCATAAAATATGATGTATATTTTGCATTTTTGTGATTTGAAAACAACTTATCTATCAGAAAAACATGTTATGCAGTCCTCAGTACGGTTTTAAAGTTGATGATCTTCAACTTCTTGGGTGTCAAGTAACATGTGCATGTTCAAAGATCAGACAATTGAAAAAAGCATTAATATTCGTACAAATTACAAACCTGGACCACCCAAACTATTCTTTCCCAGTGCTTCAATTCCTTCAAAACATTTATCCAATTATCTAAACAAAAAAAGTTGCATTTCTGGGTTTCAAAGTTGATAAAGGAATGAAGTCACAAGTTGGATTTCAACTGTATCCACAGATCTTCGTAGTGACCTTTAACAGTAAGGTTCACCTTGACCTATGGCTTGAGTTGAAACCTGTGTTGGTAACACCCACCTCACCTGTCAGGAAACAGACAACACAGCATCCATCTTACATTTTCGGTAAAGCCTTAGCCTTCTCAAGCTTACTTCATCTCATGTTTAGAGTTTAGACCATCTCTAGGAATATCGACATGTTTGCCTGCCTTTTGCAATTGGTTTGTTGTGGACTGCATGAGCCACACTTTTTTACTCTGTTGGTTTTCTGGAAAAAAATGCCTAAAAAGCATAATGAAAACAAAGCCTGAGAAGCAGGTTTAACCTGCTGTCATTTTTATGGGGTGAAGACAGTCATATTCCAAGTTTTCCTCCCTGCCTTCTGCTTTAATAATGTATTGTCTATATTGTCTATGATGCTTGCTATATTGTCTTTTTCTTACATGCTAGAGAACCAAGGAAATTAATTGATGTAGCCACATATGTGCTAATTGTTTTCTATATCTTGCACGTCCTGCATTTTAGAATTCCAAATACAGACTGTTGGCTTTGTTTTAGGTTGCTCAAGTTATCACGACCACAGGTGTATGGCTTTGTGTCACCAACTTTGTGGTGTGTTTGGGGCTTTTGTTTTTCAAGTTCAGATCTGTATTTTCTTTCAAACAATCCCTTGATACGAGGCTTTAATACTGTACACCCTAGAGTACAAATGTATTTGAAAGACAAACCAAACTAGCAGATTACGGTATGTCTTCAAAACACGTCTAAAAGAAACCAAAATCTCACATTTGCTTGGAGATTAGGTTTAGCGGCCTTCAATTTTCACCAGGGTAGAGGGTTTCATCCTGTGGGTCAGGGGTCAAACCTTTAATATCTGTTGACCTTCCAAACAGATGCAGATATTAGGCAGAGGTACGATCCTTCATCACTGGCCTATGCAGGGATTAGCCGGTTACGGTCCGTCTCATATGCAGATGGTCGGATTTAAGCCCCAGGAAGAGAGCAGACAGACAGTAGGTGTCAGGACTGGAGATCTCGACCCAGTGGTTTTGTTTAGAAAAAGATGGGACGAATTAAACTGGGAGCACTGGTCAGTTTCAGTTCGGAATGCTGTCTTTTTCCAACTTACAAGTTCCGTTGTTTGATAGAAACCATACATTTTGAGTTGTTACAATAAAAGTTTGATACATCATTTGAAAGGTCATTCTTTGCGACATATCATGGTGCATTGTATATCAACTTTGTTACTCCTACTAAATAGAAAAATATTGGTTCAACTTTTGTTAGACATAGAAATCCATAATTACTAAGTGTGTTTTTAGATTTAAATTGACAGGATCCCGGACTTGGAGTAATTCACTATTTGCTTGTACGACTTCTTCGCTTTCAGTAATTTAATGAACATGGTGGGATATGATACGGTACTTTGTTATTTGATATATTGTCGAATAGCCTCTCATTCCATTTCGCTGTAATCAGTACTTCTCGCTAATGTAGTTTCCACTGTCTCATCAGCCTTGGTGTTTGTGTGGGCTCGTTTCTCACTGTCAAAATCTCCCCCCACACACAGTCACACCTCGCAAACACACTAACCCTCCAGCCTTCCAGCACGAATAACGCACAAGACAAATACACCCTTTCTCCTTATCTTAAAGCGGAGATTTGATACCTTTTCCTGATATCTGTGGTAGGTAGAATAATGGCCCGGATTACCAGAACAACCAGAAAGTAGCAGCGGATTCGATACCCGCCTCAGAATTCAATTTACCAACCCACTGCCTGGCACCATCACCAAATAAGACCATTTGTCTTTTTCTCCAGAGTTATTTATACACAAGCCTCATAACTGCTACACCTGATACTACACCAGTGGTGATATTGTGATCTAGGTGGTTCGTAACAGGGATAGTCTGTCTCTGATGTGGTTCTTATTGTGCTACTTCCGTAACCTTAAAAGCTTATCTCCAAACTGTTAGCGTAATGCTGTCTTAAATGGATTCGAATCGAATAACGGAGGATTTTTGTGATGTGTTCTGAGAGGAAAAAGGCACAGAATGTCATTGTGACATTCACGACATCTCCTTCAAAATGTACTGCATTTGTCTGTGTTCTAAATTTCACAACACTTTACGGCCTCTGTGATTGGGAAAAGATTTATATCAACACTGTTTCTAAAGTGAACTTCCTCAACTTCAAGTTTCAGTGCTTTTTTGTAAGAGTTTTTTTTCTGCCTCCTGTATAGTTCTGTAGCTCCTGAAACTTTGAAAGGGTTGTAGGGTTGTAGAGGTATAGTAGGTATAAGCTGCATAAGACCATACTTTAAGGTTTCATCCACTCACACCAAGGACTACTCCTTTGGATAAGTGATGTGAGACCTTTAACATGCTAGTGGTGTGGCTCTCCTCTAACACAGGGCCTCTGCTTCACGTCCCAGATAGGAAATGGAATCTGATGTAAAGTGCCTTTCCCAAGGACACAACAGTGGGGCTTACCACGGATTCAAACCTTCAGATTCTGAGTCAACAACCCTAAACACAAGATCTCCTTGCCCTCCCCTCTCCTCTCCTGGAAGAATAGCTGCCACCCTCGGGTCGGCAGCTAAAGGAGAGTTTTTCCTCAATAAACCTCAACTATAGACCACCATAGGTTGAGATGACGATGATATATCACACAGACGTACCGTTGAGAACCCTGAGACTGTCGGAGGACGTCTGTTTGACGCCGTCCTCGGCCTGGATGCGGCGGCGCTGCTCCTGCTCCAGCTGCTCCAGCATTTTCCTCTTGGCCTTCTTCTCCTTCTTCAGCCTCTTTTGCAGGACAGCTGACAGACCACAGAGCAACAATGTCAGTACAGTTATCTTCGTGTTCAACCATCACATCCATGCGTTCTACAAGCCCTACATGTATGTTCTAGCTGTTCATCTATCACTGAATGTTAACTAGAGCCAACACATAGTGGCAAGAGGTGAGGAAGATCCCATCCAACACAATGTATGGTGCTAAGGCATCAGTGTCATTGGGTCAGTGATAGTAGATGTTGTTTGAAACAACTAATCTGCATAAGGATCCATACTTTGTTGTACAGTTTTAGTGGTCCAGCCCTACCTCGACTCCTCTGCTCCTCCCCCAGTTGTTTCTCCAGGGCCTCCCTGAGTTCCCGCTCTCGTAACAGCTCCATCTTCAGCTCAGCTGTGGAGAGAGTTAAAATGATAATCAAGAAACTATAATGCAGAAAAACAACTGCTTGTTGGGTTTAAGTTCTGGAGTCAAGAGACAGTACCACTTGCCTCTTTGTGTTTCACTAGTGATGCTGTAGCGGAGTGGTGGAAGTCACTCGAAATGCCTGGGAGAAATTTTATCTATCTGTATCTGTATGGCTGGTATTACCGCCTTTCGGCATAACACACCAGCTTCGCAGGCATGCTTTGCGGCGGCAGTTGGCTACATTTACATCTAGAAGAAGTCTTAGTAAAACGATGAGAGCGCACCCACCTTTCTCCATGCTGACCTGTTTCTCCTGTTGCCTGGCGTTGTCTGCAGCGACCTTGAGTAACCCCTGGATGTTGGTGAGGAGAGTCTCCGTGGAGGAGATGTTCTCGGGCAGGAAGGGGGCCATACCAACCAGACTCTGCAGCGGGGGGTTTCCCTCCGAATGGGAGTCCGGACTTTCTAAGGAGTCTGTGGAGCAAACAATACAATACTGTAAGTTACTCAATGTTCGCGGTAGCAAAATTTCGTGGTCTGAGGAAAATGGACATGTTCGCAGAAGTATATGTTCGCAGTGGTGGCAGGTGCAGCATAAAGAAAGTGGGCAAATTATTTGTCCGTGGTAATGATAAATTCGGTCACATCTAGTAAATATAAAATGTTGTGATTTACAGCATGTAAGTAAACATAAATTTAGCTACTTTCATGGTGGTTCTAATGTTTTGGTAGGAGGAAAGGGAGGATTTTGCGGTGGTGTTTTAACTTTTTGTAGGACAAGAGAGACAATCGTATGTAGTATTATTACATATTACTGGTGCTGCAACCTTGAAGCTATGCTTCAAACAGGTTGAGGCAAACAGTAAACATCAAGTTTTGCCACCCTGAAATTGCATTGTAAATTGATCAACCATTGTACAAGATACAATGTATGGCATGTACTGCTACATAACAACAGCCATACTATGAGACTAATAAACCTCATAAAAGACTTTGTAATATTATAAGAATGTGCTTTTACTACTGTTGTTGAAATTTCTAGCATTCAGACATTTTCCTTTTCAAATATTGTCATATGTACAATGCAGGAATTGGCAATATGTGCATGAATTTGCTGTTTAAATCCATTGAGAGAAATCCTGATGATAGCGTTTTATATTATATGGAATTACGCATATCAAAATATTTGGGACAATATGTGATCAAAAAATGATACATGAGAGGCTTTGGGACTTCAAAGCAGCTCCTGCAATATTCATAACTTATATTGTGACATAATTGCGATTGCTGCATGCAACTTTCAAAGGAACTTAATTTCCTGTTGATCGTAAAAGAATCCGACTCATCGAAGTACCTCAATCAAAAATGCATTACTGTAATTTCATTTGGCTGGCTTTTAGATTATGGCATGTTTTATTTGATGTGGCTTATTCCATCTGAAGAAAAACAGGAAAGGGCAGCTTCAAATATTTTCATAACATACGGGGCTGACATCTTTATATCAACCCAATTATCGGGAATATTGAGGTTATAAAAAATATTGAGATGTCAACCCTTTCAGGTTGACATCTTGAAAAGATGATAGTTGTGTAGTGCCACCTGTTTATGTCAATCCTTCCACTTATGTGGTATGTGGTAAATCTCAATGAATAAATAAATAATGAAAAAGGACACTTTGATACATTGGAAAGCAGTGGGAGGGAGTAAGATATACAAAAATTGACCCAAATTTCACTGATAGAAAATCTCTTGGTACCATCAAAATATAAAGGAGACCTCGGTACAGGTTTTGGAGCCGTTTGTAAAAGAAGGAAAGTTAACGTTGAATGTGTCTGCACAATGTGTAATCATATTACAGAAAAAAAATCACTTTTGCTGCCAAAATCCTTCATCGAGCGCCTTTTATAGTCACTACATGCTTATCTCAGGAATTCACAGACTACAAAGTTTATTGAATCTGTACCGTATGGTAGCTGTCTACTGTGAGGCACTTACATCATGGGTAAAAGCGTGAGTTACAGTGTGCCAAAAATGTAGGTTCAGATCCTGCACACTGTCACCGGTAGACAAAACACTTCCCGAAAAGGATGTGGCAAACACAATAAACTTATTCTTGGCGTATACGAAAAAGATCGTCAAATATGTGTATGATCATTTTGACCCACATTTTTTCGTTGCCATTATAATCATACTGACTACGTCTACTTCCAGAAGGCCTAAACCCTGGAAATAACATCAAGGGACAAGCAGTACTTGACCAGTTCTACTGTTGCTATCATTTTGAGAATCTGACTCATAGTTGCTGAATACTTGTGAGACAAATGCAAAGTGTCAGAAAAAGCAGCTATAAATTTCAGACTTCGTAGCTTTCAGAATAGGACTTTTAGCAGTCTTCCTCTTACTTTAGTAGCAAATACTGCTGTAACACATCAAGCAGTCCTAGTGTTTTACTGGCATACGAAAACGATTGTCAACAACGAATACAATGGATTTGAGAAAAAGTTGCTGAAATCTGCTAAATGGCATTTAATTCTCCTGTCTCTCCCCAAGGCAAATATCACATTAAACAGCTATAAATTCCAGCCTGTTGTTCCTTTCCGCAGATCTGAACTCTGGCTGACCCGACTGAACTCTGTTTGCCCTTGTCCTGGCAGAAATACAATCTGAGCAAAGCCCAACTCAAAACAGGAATATAAACTACTGATAACCATCAGACAAAACAAGCAGTAAATAAGTCCTGTCAGAGATTATACCTGTTGTCCCTGACTTGTGTGTTTCAGGAAGGATGCAACGAAAAATACAGGATGTCCCTGAGAGACTCACTACAATTATGCTAGTCGGGAAATTTTCAGCTAGATTTCTTCAATGTGTTTCATCTGCGTTGTTTATAGAATAGCATCTTACCCTCTAATGGACATTTGCCGTAGGTCGTATCAAACAAACTGACAGAGAAAGAAACAAATAATGTACAAACATCTAGCTGGTGTGTTATCCTTCTATACTCCCTTTGTACAAGCACAAAGGAATCCATATAAATGGACATTATATGTTATCATAAATATGAAAGAAAAGCAGTCAAACTGCCCGAGAATAGGGACCAATAAAACCTGATCTACTATGTATGTAGACAGGTGGTCATTTGAGACAGGATTCTTATTACTTGTGTCCATGGAACAATGATCTAGGGGACCACCAAAAAGTGGTAACATTGGCCTGGTGTCCATAGATTTTGAGGTGGTCACTTGTAGTTGTACACTGGTTTGACTCTACAAATGTACCTCAATGGCCAGATGGTCCTTTGATGTAGAGATGGTCACTTGCATAGGTTTGACTGTACTGGACATTTGTATATCAATGGCCAGGTGGTCCTTATGTAGAGGTGGTTACTACATGGTACAAGTTTCACTAGGAATGTTTTTCACTGCTTTTTTAGCTGTGAAAAATGAATCTGTACACTATCAACAGGGATCTGCTAGCTTGAGAGGATTATTGACTCCCAGCCTTTAGTAGCTTGGGTATCAGGATGACATGTTGTCAGGATAAACAGTGTCTTTATTAACTCAGGATCACTATGTGTAGCCGAGTATCTGCAAACAAATAAAAGTCAGGATTTGATGGGGGAGGAATGTACAAAATGTACCGCCCTGTGTACTGCGATTATTTTTCTTTTTATTGGTTTGGCTGACATGTAGCCAACTAGCCTTGGGCCATTACTACAATTGAAGGGCTAGCATAGAGTTTCAGATGGATAGATTTTAGCCATCGATATCGCACACCAAAGGCTTCTCTTATCAATAAGTTAGCACAACAATGGGATCATAAAACAGAACTGCATCAGACAATGCCAAAGAAAACGTCCAACAAAAGCCGAGTTCATAAAGGCATCCGATTCCAAGGCAATTTCAGGGTGGCAATTTAAAAAATTTCCTTAATCAGAAAATCTGTCTGATATTTATGTTTACTGCCATTTCTTAGCACATTTTCGGCATCATAACCCCAAACAAGCCAAGCCCCTTTATTTTGTGGTGCAGCTACAATGTAGAAGCAGCCTGTGCAATACAAAACAAGCAACCATTTTCTGTCAGCAATATTACATTTTTGCAAATGGCAAATAGGGTTGATTCAACTTAATACATTTTCAGAATAACCAGAAAATCCAGTTTTACTGCCCTGAAATCACTTTGGGTGCCTTAAATAGACCATTTTGTTGAAAAATAGGGAGGGATATTGTGAAATCAAATGAACATGCGTTGGTCTGAAAAAAGGAAAGAAACCAAACGGAATGGCTCCATACAACTGCCAGTAGGGTAATTTTGAGTTGGTAGGACGGCAACTCACTTCTATCTGTGGTCAACCTTTCTTTCAAAGCCTCTGCAGAGGATCCCTCCACACCAGAGGCTGCCACCCCCTCACTAGCACTGGCAGGTGGTACGATTCCTGCAGGTGTCAGTCCTAACATGGCATTGCTCATCACCAGGTTGCCATGGAGACCAGAATGACTGGCATGCACACTGGACGAGGCAGGGAGATGGAAACCATTTTGCGTGGTACCTGCAGCCAAGAATGATGCAGAACTTTTAGTACCAATAAAATTTGACTTGCTCACAGCTAAAGTGAAAGTAGACTAGACAACTGTCTATACAAAAAAAGCTGTTTTTAATACTTTTCCAAACTTCTCAACCCAACCAAAAACATAATGAAAAGAGCAGTCTTTATATGATACCTACAAGCAAAAATGAAAATCTTTTCCTCTGTGCCATCTTGTACCATCTAATCATATAACCTCTTGCTACCAACAACAATTGTGAACAACAGATGTCAGAAATGTTTTTCTTGAAGCTTTTTCTTTGATTCACAAAGACATGAAAAACCAAAAGAGCAGCAAGTCTAAAATGATACCTGCTGACAAAAATGATGTAAAACAGTTTGGATTTGATAACATCTGACATTTATCCATCCACGGCAAATGTGGACAAAAGCTGTCATCACAAAACTCTCTTTTGACCCATAAATGAAAATATGACCGGGCAAAAGAGCAACCTTTCAAACACACTTTAAAAAGTACAGCTGGTACAAAATTGTATATATTTCTCATTGGCAAACCTATTAAGCATTATCCTGAAATGTTGAATGCAAGCCAAATCATAAACATCATTTCCAGCTGCACAATGCAGCTTGATGAACAGCACTCCCATCTTTCTCTCTAATCTACTAATGGATTTGTAGACTCCAAATGTCACGGAAGATCATATCAAAACTCAGGCTGTGCTTCCGCCCACCATTTGGCGTGTTTTAATGGTGATTTGGTTTGTTTGCCCATCATTGACATTTCCCTGACAGTGTCAACGTAACAAATACCATAATTCTGCTGTGGAACAAGATTACTATTGGGACTGTCACGCAGAGAGGCAGGAAGCTTTCCAGCCACTTTTAGCTTGAAGCCTACATGTACACATATTCATGCCGCACTTATAATTTAGAAATTCCTCTTTTCTTGTTATGTCTGCTGCAATTTCCTCAATGCTGTAAGCTCTTTGCTAAACCCTCTTTGCTCGACTTAACATTCTTCACTGTCATGTCACGCAAAAACGAACTTTCCAAGAGCCTTTGATGTTGAGAAAATGTGCATGAACTTGAATTCTCATACAAAAGTAAATATGTTGCTTTTAACTTTTGTTGTCTTTGTTACTGCTTTAATTTGACCATTTTAAGAGTCGAATCAAACCGAAACATTTCACTTGCATGTCTTCATAGCATACACATGTATCTACCCAACACTTTTAACAAGGCTGCAATAGGAATGGAGTTCTAGTTCATTTTGGTGACCTCTTATTTAAAAAAAACTGTTTTGTCTCACTCTCCAAGCAGACCTTTGGTGGCTGCAATACAATATCAAATTGGCAAGACAGTATAAATTGAAATTGTCAAGACAGTATCAAATTGACAAAGCAGTATCCATTTGCCACCTGTTTCGCTGGCTTAAAAATATACAAGTACAACAAAAGAAAGCATGATAAACACATCAAAAATAAGCCAAAGAGTACTCTCTTGGAGAGTAGTTTTGTCTGTTTGAGTGGCAGGTGTGTCCCAGTATTGTCTTCGGTGACCTCAGGTGATGAAGGCTCGTTAACCCCCGTTAATTAACGCACCAGCTGGGCAGGGACAATAAGGGCCTTTCACTTTTCACCTTTGATTGCGGAGTATCATGAGTTATCTGGGCAGGGTATTCATTATCTCAGTCCTTTTGGCCAGAACAATTTAAGTTGTTGGTTGTTGGATTTTTAATGCTGAACTGAATCAACGATCGACAACATTAGATTTTGAGTGGGACGTCTGTACATGTAACTAATGGTACACAGTTTTAGGAAATTAATTTAGTCAGAGTTACATTTACGTGTACTCCTGGCCCTGTTTTCATCTTTGTCCTCTAGAATTTTTGCTCGAAATGTCCAAGAATCAAAAAAATAAATTGATGTTGCCTTCGCTTTGTACAATATGGGTCTTAAGTTCAGGGATCAAGTGCCTTATGTGTGCCTTTGTCCACAAATCGAAATGTTTTTTCTTGTCCGTAGTAATGACAAAGGGGCACTTTAGACTGACGACGGTTCGATAGTCGTACGAATGTTTATCGTCAAGATGTTGCCGGCGACGGTATTTTACCACCGTCTAAACCCGATCAAAATAGTCGCACGACGGTAATCCTCGAATCGTCGTCACTACCACCTCGGACCCTATCGTGCGATCCTTCAGCGGGGGGTCCGAGGAGGATTTTCCACCGTCTAAAGTGAACCGTCGCCGGCGACGGAAGTGGGAGGTCATTAGCCTTATGCAAATAAGCCTGCAAGCGTTATTTCATGTCCAAGCACATCGCCTGTATCATTAAATGTCGTCAAACCAAAGACTTTATATCGTCATACGTGTCTAGTACAATCCCCTGCCACCAGTCGCTACTTTTCCTGTGCGAACCAATCCGCCGATCCACATTTCCCGGCCAATGTAGCCAGGCCGACGTCAGCACCGAACGCCGGGTTCAAACCCGGAGTATTGCCCCGCTCGGTACATGTGCCATATACCCCTTATTTGCTGGGCACAAACTCGGCGTCTCATCAACAGGACAACGAGTTAAAAGCAGAATAAAAACAATCTGCTGCAGCATGCCGAAAAAAGGGGTTCTCTCGCCATTTTGAATTGGCGCGCGGCGTGCCATCCTGCGCTGCGGGTGTCCGCCACACATTCTGGTCATGTGTCTAAAGCCAGCCGTCGCCAACAACGATTGTCGTGCGATCGTATACCGTCGTCAGTCTAAAGTCGGCCAAAGGCTCAACCACGTCAAACCGGACACATTAAGCTGTTGACTTAGTCTGCTCACATTAAAAGAGAACAAATAGTACACTGACAGGTGTGTTTTTCTGGTGCCACAGTGTCGACATAAATTTCTTTTTCGAAGTATAAATGTGGATTGTTTTTGAAAGAGCAAATTCTTTTTGTACTTTTTTTAAATATTTTACGACCACTTTTTATTTCTTGAGAGAGATGGCCTCTTCTTATTGTAATTATTCATAGATCTTTTATGTACATGTATGATTTGCAGAAATATCATTCAGCACTTCATACTATACAATATAGAAAACCAAAAATCACAAATTGTGCCAAGTTAAAGCACTTCTGCAAACTTTTGACATGTGTTACCAAAACAGATGGCTCACTATGACTAACAAAAGTTGGCAACAAAATCATAACCCCAGAGGGTGCATATGGACAAATGGTCATGAAACAGACTGTGTGGGCATATATCCTTCATACACACCCTACCAGCCAGAAAAATACAATATTTGGGAAGTTTCCAAATCCCATTAACAAGCCTGAAGGAGACTGGCAGAGAGGACTCATTTATATCAAGTTGATACATCTCTGGTGGAAGCCGTTGCCAAAGGCTGACCTTTTGGCTCCGAACAGTTAAGACCCTGTTTAGACTAGGGCTGGTAAGAAGGATCAGGATGAGAAAGCATGTTTTGAGACCATTTGGGGTCGAATCTAAATGGGTAAATTTGAGTACAGACTTCTAGATAAAGGACCCGGATTTTAATTGGAGGTCGAGCTGGTTTCTGAGGAGACTGGGTCTACTTTGGAAAGGAAAGCAAACCTTTCTGTGCAGTGACCACTATGGGGACTTTAAAAATGGTCACTATGGGGACTTAAAAGTAGACGGGTGGCCACTATAGACAAGTTCATAATCTAGGGGACCGCCAAAGAGTGTGGCCAGGTGGTCTTTATGCAGGTGGGTCCCAAAAACTGGTTCTAACTAAAAGCGGATCCGTGGCTTCAGATAGTTTCTACATGTGGGTCTTTCGTAGTGGTGTAATTTCGAGGGCGCCCAGCGAAGGAAACCAACACACCACTTGAAAGACGTTCAAAAATGAGCGGAAGATTTAGGAAGGTCATCGTGATAAAAGATGGGATGTTCCGCCGGGAGGTGTTATCCTAGAGGCAAGGGAAACGATCTGGATGATACAGGGTGACCTTCAGGTGTTGTGTTGGCCACATTAATCAGCTACGAATGTCAAAACACGAACAATAAGTCAGAAATGCAGGATGTCACGGGTCTTTAGGTTCAACCATCTACCGAACCACACACCGTACTTGTTGTTGTACATGGGTGAATTGTCAATAGGCACAAAAGAACGACACTGTAACACTTAAATTGAGAAAGACACTGGGAGTTTGGCCAATCCAATACACTTTAAGCATTGTATTTCAACTTGTTATTGAATGTACACATAAGTTTCACATCTCAGTTTGAAAGAATGTGCCTCCCTCAGCAAAACTAAGGGTTTTTTTTACCTCAGAGTTGATTGGATTTTGTGTGTGTCATTCCAAATCCAAACTGCCCAGTATTACAACCAAAAACTTAGCCAAAGTTAAGATCTCAAACTTTGAAGACAATTAAGCGTCATTATCAGTGTTCCAGCCAGTGTCCGTCTTTTTCTTGGTCCTTTCTCAGCATCTGTCATGATTATAAAATTAACCCTCCTAGGATTGGCACTGTTGTGTGAAACAAAATTGAGATGACGGAAAAAACCTCAGGCTGGCTAGAACACTGATCATGATTATCAATAGCCATTCTGTAATCCTTTCTCTCTATTTATAAACCATGTTCATATTAGGTTTGCCAGTCTGTGTGAATGAGCGTGAATTCAGAAGAGACTTGCTAAGCCTTCTGATTGTTCCTCGCTGTGGGGCAGACGAATATCAAAGAATTTCGCAAATGGAGCAGCAATCTACTTCCTAACCTCTTGACATTGAGCGACCTTGACTGAAGGGCTTGAAGGAAAGTTATTCATTCCTTCAACGGGTCCTTTGATGTTTACTCTCTTATTGACGTTAATAGGTTTGACCTTCTTACCACCAACAACCTTGTAACAAATGAAATCCGTCAAACAGTAATACATCTACATGTAATGTTACATATAGCACAAAATTGTGCCGCAAGTTGGAACAGATTATACAGTACAGTACAGGTTATCAAAAATCACACAAGATAAATACATTGTATATAGACCAAAATAAGTTAGTTGAAACACCAGTACATGAAAACACTTAAAACAGACAAGGACACAAGGCAAAGCTCCAAGACATTAGTTAGTTAAACACAGTGCAATTGCTACAAATGATTAAACGTTATTTGTAGATAATCTAATTGTGACTGTGGCGACTGTATGAGTGGAGAAATAAGTAGCTCATATCTCGGCTATGTTATTTACTTTATGAATATATGTATGTAATGTTACAGGAAAATTATGTTGTTGATATCAAAGAATAACAAGTCGATAGTTATAACGTTAAGAAGGCTTTGCGACTGATATTATAGCAAGAGACAACATAAGCCAATCATGTTAACCATGCCATATACCTGTATGTATGAACTTGATGCCATTAACATGCAGGATTAAAGAAGTGGCAGCGAAAATCAAGCAGCATATATATGAGCAGGGATGTTGCCTAAACTTGTTAAGCATGAAGCATGAAGGAAATGCACTGAAGCAAGCAGTAAGCACATGTAGATTATGCAAGCTTAATGTGCCATGCAAGCAAACCACTGCAAGCCAAAGCAGCAAAGAAAATGACAGCCACACCACGGAACACACTACCAAACACGACAGAACCAACAGCACGTTTTCTCTACATCTTACTTACCCACAGTTCCCTCTTCCTTGCCCTTTGACCCTTCGTCCTGAGAGGTCGAGCTAGTCTTCTCTCTCGACGGGGACATTTTCTCTTTGGTCGCACTGTTCGCCGTCGTGCTATTAGGGGAGAGTTGCTCACTTTCCGCGCCATTTCTGTCGAATTTTATGACGGAGGCCGACGACTCGGGCAGTCTGGACTGCGTGGAGACGGCGGCAAGGGAGTGAGGTACGTTAAGGAACGCCGTGGAATGTGGGATCGCCCCCGCCGCGTGCAACATAAAGGGAAGTCCGGCGATCGTCGTGGAAACCGGGTGGTCCGAGAGGCCGTTGGGTAGGAAGTGGTTTTTGTCTCCTGAGGTAGGTATGGTGCGAGGAATGGCAAGGAGTCCACTGGAGGAAACTAAAGAGGATGTCTTGTCCCCCGACACGGCTTTCAAATCCGACGATTTGCTCCCTAACGGGGAGAAACGTTGGAAAGCTACCATTAGTGTAAGAACCCCCGGCTGGTGCCGAGTGTTCTCTTTCGGTCGTGAAAAAAACTTAGATTTTTACTTCTTTTCTTCTAGCTATAGCTACATGTAATATTGTGGTTGTCTCATTCCAAAGATGCTTCATGAAATTAATAAATTAATGTTATAAAAGGATCCAACAATTACCATGTGATGCATCAGAAAGCTAGGGCCACTTTCTTGTCATCCATCCATCTTTACCTACATCACATACTAGTATACACGTACATGTATAACCAGATAAAACAACTTGTATACCACTACGAATCAGAACACCTTCATTTTCCAATTAGGAAATGTTTCTACCCAATAAAACATTTAACACACCTCTAGACTATAGGTTCAGGACAAGCCATGGTGTCTTTTAGCTGAGCTTAAAAGTTACAAACCATATTTATAGCGCTGAGCCTCCTTACTACTGCTACTAAAAGTAATATAATCCACAATTTCTGTTTACTTGCTTTTGGAAATGTTCTGTTATGTATTTTACTTTTAGTGTAACTTACATTTTAGTGTGCAGTCTGCCTCCATACAATGTATCTCATATAAGCTTCTGCCTCAAAACAGCATGCTTTATGGGGGTGCCATTGATACTTGAACATTACATCTTTGCTATCACATCTTTATCTTAGTCACTTTACTCAGACATGTATTTGATGGGTTTGATTACCCTAACCATATCATCACTCAGTATGATACCCACTCATGCTGTTTTTGATATTACCTTGCCTTACCTAGTCCCATCTAGCATTTTATCTGCTCATTTCTCATAAATAATATATTAAAATAATACATTTTAGCAGTGGTTTCTAGTTTTGTTGCAAGGTTTAAATCTTCATATAGGATGTTTTACGCATTACATAGTGGTGCTGATCAAACTTACAATATCACTATACCTATTCAAGTTGCTTTTTATCCATTCATTTCAGATCTCTTATTACATGGTAATACATTTTTAAGTGGTGTGTCTAGCTTTGTTGCAAATTTCAGGACCAAACATGTAAAAAAATACTTTCAGATGCGATGCCGTTTATACGCTTTTATCCTCGATCACTTGGTGCAGCCTACAGACCATTTTCATGTCAGAGACGAAATAAGAATTCATTTATGACTTTTCTGGCATTTCATGAGAACGTAACATGCTTTCATAAAACCAGTTCAAAGCAGCGATTCCTGCAACTTCAAGCACTGTTACAGCTTATCAGTTACCTTTACAATAAAGTTTTGGCTTTACAAGCCTTGTAACATGCAAGTTTGAAGGGCATAAAACGAGTCGGCAGCCGTTATTGTATCGTTCGCTGACATCACCTTCAGTTTATCCCCGTCTCATTTTCAATAACAAACCCATTACAACATGAAATATGTGGGAAGTTAATCACCCGAAGGCCTGGAATATCCTCATTTATCGGAGTTTCTCGGTGTGCGGAGTATTGCATCTGGGACGGAGCGCGTGCCCCCTCCTCATTTCCTGACAAAAATGTAATAAATATACCCACAGATAATGATACTGCTCACAATTTACATGTAAAGTTTGTAATTATCTCCCGTCCCAGCGGGTCAGCGTGAAGCTTGTCAGCAGAACACCCGCTCGCCTCGCCCACTTTAATTATTTCTTTTGATTGCCTTTTGGAATAATTGCCGAATCCTACTCGCACGCCGCACGGATCTATTACCGCCCAATAACCAAGAAAGACCAGGAGCAATCCTTTTTCTGTTTTCTGCCAATAAAAAAACTTCTGGGTTTTAGATTGACGGGTGATAAAGGTGCTGTTATCACAATAGTAATGAGGGCAGGTCTCGGGAGTAACACTAATAATACAGGTTGTTTGAAAGCGCGAGTTGCAAGGGCTCCTGACTCTCATCATATTCGTGATAGATGTTCACTACTTCAAAGACGAATATGTTTCCCCCTGCTCTAATTGAAGCTTGCTTTTAAGCTGCATCAATGATTAAGCAGTAAAGGAGCTCCCCGCGAAAATCATTTGGTCACAGCCACAAAAGAGACATCAATTTTTCACAAGGCGCCATCATTTTCTTTTTACCACAAGGCTCTCGGCCAATCCCGGATTGGAATAGGAGCGGAGACGGTTCTAAAGCTCAGGCCATGCCTACTCCCTCCCTAATGTCTAATTAATAGGCAAACTGACCCCTTTTTATCCCGTATCTCCCTCATCTGTAATGAAATCCGGCTGGATGCAGGAATTGCCATCTGATTTTTGATGGCTTGGTAATGACATTGGGATATCTGGTGAAGGGAGGGATGGCCTATCATGGTACATAAAGGCAGCGTCATGATGGGTTTTTAACCTCTGACACTCCGGTGGCCAGAAAATAATTTGGGGGTCAAGAATCAGCTTTGCTGGGCAGCGGGACCAGATGGAAAGGGGGGAATTTGTCTCTGGGGCGCCACAAAGGCTACTACAGGCGCCATGAAAAATGATGTAGACAGGGAAATTAACTAAATTCGGTCAAATCTGCTTTTACTCCGGACAAAGCACATTCACTACCCAGCAGAGGACAATAAAATAAGGGGCATTGCGTCACACAGAGGAATAAAAACAACATTTGTGGGCGTCGTAAAAATCTAAAAACCAACTTCAAAAATGATAAAACACGGACAAAAAGGACTGCAACTTGTACTGTGTCACGCAAAGGAATAAAAACATTTGTGGGCATCATAAAAACTGGAGACCAAAGTAAAAGATTATGTACCAATAAAAGTGGACATGCAAATGTATATACCAAATGGCTGCAACTTTACATTTTCCATTACTAAATCTCTATCTAAATTGGTAAAGCTAGAAAACAAACCAATAGCAATCATTTACAACATTTCATTCCCTGTCAGCAAAAGTATCACAGTCAATGTTCACAAGTTCAATCTAATGTAGTAAAAGCAAAGGCTCCCTCAGTCAAAAGTAGGACGAGCCACATCAATATTCTACCTTTCACTTAAATACCTGCTCAGTATTACAGCATTGTATAAATAGCCTTTATGTGTACAATTACAGACAGCGGCAGTGTGGCAATTTTCCCTTCGAATATAAAAACAGCCATTTCCCGACCAGATCATAGAACGTCTCCGAACCGAAAGTACTCATAACTGCCCGGAACTGTACATAACTAGCGATGGGAACGGGATCAAACTGGTGATAACCTTCCTCCGAAATTAAAAACAAACAGCCCGACCATTGCTGAAGTAATGACAGCTAAGGATATTGGCAACCCTTTAGATTCTTAATGGACTTTCTACATTACATGATCCTGCATCAGTAAAGACCATTAGGCAACATGTAATCAGTTGGTTGTTTCGTGTACATGCTGGAATAGAGATGTAAATGCTTACTACTAGGTGTATTCTATCTAACATTTAGTACCATTGTATGATTGGACATTCATATACATATGAGGCAGAAAATATCTAGTTGGTTGTTTCTATGTAAACCTACTCAAATAGTTACTTGCAAGTAAGATACTAATAATACTGTATTCTGGTATTTCTTGTTACTGCACATGCAGTGAATAAAGAGTGTTTCACCTTCATTTCTAATATTCAGGTTTTATCACTTTTATCCTTGATTTATTGTGTGTCAAATTATATGATATGTATCAATAATTTATGTCAAAGTCAGGGTACTTTACAAATGTCTCAATTTTGCAGTCAAAGGCTGAAGTACATCACTATAAATCAAGTTGCTCTTTCCATTTTTTTTCCCATTTTATAACCTATTGTTGTCATTGAAGTTATACATCACAGGTAAGCAAATGGAATAGCTCAATATCAATGTGTTTTGAGTCATAAATTACAGCATTTCAACATTCCTGCATGTCTGAAATGGGCATACCAGTAGAAACTTCTGATGTCAGGGTTGGGACAAGATACTTTTTTTTCTGCATACCTGCACTGGTGAAGGTAACACTGAAAATAAACTACTGGTACACCAGATAAATTTTGCCTGTACTAAACAGAAGTATGGATCATACTAAAAACCATTACTTTTATTTAAAAACAAACATTTTTTTAATACTTCATAGATGGTGACAAAATAAAAATCCACGTACACCTTCAACTTCAAGTATATATTAACCCAGTACACATGGACAAGTGCAGGTTAGGTACAGGTAGACATCACAAATACACCTGTATTCACTCCAAAAACTGAGTGCACCAAGGGTGAAGCTTGGTCCTCAAGCTTTGTTTTTAATGATTTTCCAGTTTTGAGCATATTTTTTTATAAAAGTCTCAGAACCAACAAATCAAGATAGTGTTGCCCTAGGTAAAGTCCTGCAGATAGAGGTTAGTGACTGTTACTAAGTGGTTTAGACATTGTGAAGGTGTGGTCTTCATTAACATAAGGTGTTCAATCAAAGGTATCACAGGAGCTTAGGGAAGGTCACCTATAGTACATGTACCTTACAAGACAAAGGTAGTCACAGAACAGATAAATACATAACCTGAGGCATGGCGGCACATGACACACACATTTGAGATATGTGCTCTCTCTCAGTTTCTATCTATTCATCTCTACTTGGCTTTGTCACACTGTACTCCTTTAGCAGACCAACTCCCTTGGCATGTTTTCTGCCGGTCTATTTCAGTAGTGTTTGGCTGATTTCTACTCTTTCCAGCTGCTTCTGAAGCTCGGTAGAGGCTATTACTATAATAGTAGTAATACCCCAGTATTTCTTCTCTCTCTCTCAGCCTAGTAGTAGAAGAGGCACAGGGGAGGGTGCCTGAGAGGAGAATGACTCATGACACTTGTCAGATCCTGGCAGTACTGGGTCAACACTCCCCTCAGGGGAGAACCAATCTATTTATTGAGAAGTCAGCTCTGCCAAAGCACAACTGCCAACCTCTAAATGGACTTGCCTTGTGGAATGAGAGAGAGGAATTCTAGTTGCAGATATTGTTTATGATTTATGCTGAGAAAAAGTATCACAGTAAGCTAACAGGCCCTGATTGGTTTAG